CTGGCCCAGGTCTCTCCGAGAAGGTGTTGCACTGTGTATGAGCACATACACGAGTCTGGTCGCAATGTTTGTCTGAGTCTGTGTGGGGGGTCTCATAGGCTATCATGTAACAAAATCTATTTTTAGTAATAGTATAAAGCGCTATTTGGACTTTCAGGGAAAATCGAGTGCACAAAGGTAAAGAAAATTAATGATGTCGTCAAGTATGCTAGAAGTAGGTATCTCTCACCCGTTCGCTTCGCTCACTCGCGAGAGATACTTTCAGCACTCGAAGATAAAATTCATATCCCCGCACAGCCATGCGATGATCTGTTTACTTTATAGATGCTGATGAAATTTCCACATAAAACACAGCTTTTTTGAAGAACAGGCCGCGCGCCTGAGTGACCAATCATGTTAGTAACCATGGCGACACCATTTTCCTCCCACGTGAAAGATAAATGCAGTATCTTCACTGCACGCGATGAAGATATGATATTTAAGTGAACGGAAAAATCCTGGTACTTCATCAGTATCTATATGATAAGATGGAATTTCTTCACATCTCTATCAGTGGTACTAATGATACGAAATAGTGTCCCTCAGAAGTTAAATAGATTTCAGAATTATGTTGTGTCGAACCATTGAATTACCTTTGACCAAGAAAAATTCTGTTCAATTATTTTCTCTTGACTTGTATTTCCGAATCAGTTTATTGAGTGAGGAATGAAAATTAAGTAATTCAATCATCTATTGAATCCGCGGAGTCAGAACATATATCGTTAGTTTCTTCATTTTTTTTTTCTTTTTTTTTGGTCACCAGCTGAGAAATGATGGGCTCTCCATAGTCAGTGCAGATGCAAAGGAAAAAGTTATTATAGTCATACGTAATAAAGTGCTGGAGCAGTAACAGGCACTTGCAACAATTGTACTTGGAGTTAACCTCAGTGTGAAATGCTGCAAGTTTTCAAGCCACAATGGTGCCCAATAAAAATAACTGTTAACAAATTTGCAGTTCGCATGATTTTTATGTAATAACTGACAAATCAATAGATTTAGCAGTTTAGAGAGCAAACCATTATAAGAGGCAAATGATGAAGCTCCCCCAATTGCAAGTGCATGTTTACCATTTTATTCCCCCAAATTTGTCAGTCCAATAACCAATAGGGAGTGTGAAATGTTGGAAGTTATCACCAGCCGTTTTAGTACAAGTCTTAACTTCTTCATGTGGAGGCCCAAAACAGTTTCATTTGTTTTTCCAGGTCATTGCTTGATTTTTTTCCTTCAAAAATGATTTTAGAAAATTTTTTTTTCCAGGTCACAATCAGCTTTACAAGATGAATTTTACAATTGATGTGTGAGTACTGCATGTAATGTTAATTAAATTAAATATAATGGAACAAAAAAAAAAAAAAAAAAGACAAAAATTTATTCATTTTGCTTTAAATTGAACTGTATCCCAATATCATTATATTTCTGTCATAATTATCATTATCAATATCATCAATTTTGATTACTATTTTTTTTGCAATTTGTTCGGAAAAACAAGTTGTCAGTGAAAAAAGCATGTTAAATCTCTGAGTCCCCATACCAAACTAGTCTTTCTTGAGATGCATTCCCTTCCGAAAATATACTCATTCTAACAAATATGGAAATTTTCTTTCACACACATCTACATGTATTAAACATTAGCACAATATATGACACAAAAAGTTGAAGAGGAAATGCGGCTGTGAAATGCAACAATATTACAAAACTCTAACATCATACTTACAGAGGTGTTACTGCTTAAAACCACTCATACAAAAAGTTTATTCTTAAGCGTAAATTTTTTAAACTACAAAATATTAACTGTCGCACTGCATGTAATAATTCTCAGTTCAGAATGCCATTGGCTTGCTGCTGGCATCAAACCCGGCTGGGTTAGTTAATACACTACTGTGTTCCGTGGGTAACAGTAGGCTTGGTTCGTGACCATCACTACTGACTGTTGGCAAAGACAAGACTCTGAGCTGGCTGTGCTCTGTATAGATGAGCAAGATGAACACACTGATTGACATTCCAACTGCATTGCTTTCATGTGCTTCTCTATGGCAACAATAATTTCACCAGCCCAGGCAAGTGTATCTGGTCTGTTGGACGCACTTCTCACAACCTGATAATGTTGAATGAGCAACATAACTGTCAAACTTAGAATTATACAAAAATGGAGACCTGTGGTGTTTCAGAAAACTTTTAGATTTACATGTATGTGTTATGACCAGTCACATCAGAGAGAACAGGACTCACACGTAAGCCACAAAACCAAAAAGCTCAAAAGGTATGCAAAATAATTCCCACATGATATTTTTTATGGCATCAAATTTTCCTTGCATGTCGGAGAATCTTGCAGTCTACTTGCAGTCACATAGGGCCTTTTTCCAGACAACTCTGAATAGAATTTTAATGATTGCTTCTTTGCACCAAAAGATAGTTCTCCTTTAGAACCACAACACATGTGTATTTGAATGACATGAACTTGGTATTTATAACTACAGTAACTTTAAATTCAAGTCTGTTTTACCTGAAGTAGCTGGCAAACAGATTTGTAGAGAGCTGTTGACCTTCATGTATAGACAAAAACACACTTAAAATTAAAACATTTACAACCTCAGTCAGTTTGACTTCTTTTCTTTTTGTCCTCAGTCTCCACATCCGTGATACAAATCACGCTTTCTTGAAGCTATAAGTACTACATTTTCTTTCTCTTCAGTGTCAGGTTCTGAAGTCAAACTTAGTACCAATTACTTGGGAAACTGAAACTGGTCAACATGAACAATGTTCAGTTGAGATAAACCAAGAGGGTGACACATAAAGTGAGGATAAGAATTGTCAAAAAAAATCCGAACCAGCTAGTTTAAGCAAAGTTTTGGCTTGTGACAACATAATTTAAGTGCATGCTTTTTCAGTCCTTATTTCTTTATTCCATTGTTTAAAAGCCTTTTCAGGATAATTTTCTTTATTTTTTTAAGAGTATCCAATAATCAAAATTCATGCAAAAAGAAATATGTAGTATTGCTGAATTTTCTGGTAAAGCTTTCAGATCTAAAAACAGATTTGGAACTGACCCTGGCCGGTTATCTTAAACCACCTTCGAACAACATTTACCTGGCCCAGGTCTCTCTGAGAAGGTGTTGCACTGTGTATGAGCACATACACGAGTCTAGTCCCAATAGCTTTAATTTGTTATTAAAGCCCATTAAATGCCAGTTAAGTTACTGGTAGTATAAAAATATCCATATATTTTAACTAGAGATACTGCATCTCCCAAATGGGCTGTTGATAATGGCATTGATATCGTGACCTTGCTGCTAGCATGAGACTCACTCTTGTGGCACCAGCTTGCAGAACATGCATGTTGCCATTTACTTACCTCTCTTCAATTTGTTTGGAATCTGAAGGTGTATACATTGCTTTGACCAGCTCATCCACTCTGGAAGAATAAAGTTTTCAGATTGCAAAACTTGACATACTCAGCTTCTGTAAAATTTACCAGTTTTCTTTTAGACCGTCATCCATACATATACGTGAAAAAGACAACAATTCAGATACCGCTCTAAACCCTATTAGATAAGGGAAAACAAGCAAAGTCTTTTGTCTTGTTGGAAAGTACAATGTAGAGCAAAACTGGAATTGTACAGCAGGAGTCACCCAAAAATATTCCATACTGGGCAAATAAATGATTTGAAAACTATAACATGTTGCAGTACAGCTCAGAGATGAACAGCCAACGTACATATTGCAAGACTACTGCAGCATGTTTTGTTTGGCTCTTAAAATAATAGGCGCATTTGTATCTTGTGTGCATTTTTGCTAATTGTTTATATCAATCAGCTTGCTTTGTTCTGCATTGTTTCAGGTGACAAAAGTTTCCTGCATTAAAATGCAGCTATATTGATAGTCAATGCCAGTCTAGGGGCCTTAAGTCTATCAAGCATTATATTTTACAGGATGTAATGTACTGTACAGGGTGCTTTAAAGCAGAACACATTGTACCTTGGCCTTATATTCTTTGCTGCAGTCACAATTTTGTCCATTTCTGTTGGTGATTTGATTGTTCCACTGCTCTCCATTGTGTGGGCAACAAGCTGTTCTGTTAGTACATGACAGGATTTCAACAAGTCAATGCAGTGCAATATCAGGTTTCTGTGGCAATTATAAAGAGAAGACAAAATTAATTGAAAATATGAGATCCTAATCCACATAAAGTAATAATATTTATAATACATAATACTGTAGTTATTATAATGATCTCATAATCGCATTCAACTGACAAGGACTATTCACTTGACTCGGATCTGTGTATGGCTTCTGCTCAGGTTGTCAAAACATCTGTCAACACTACCAACAACAGTCCTTCTCAGGACTTCACTGGCCTGGACGATTAGACTACACCATCACCTGTTACCCCACAGTTCAAACCATTTAACTGAATAATACAGTTTGTAACAACAAAATTCAAGTAAGAATAATGACAATGAAAATCATAAATTTATAATAATGTTCAAATGACAAATAATGAAAATGACAAATAATGACAATAACACAGGTGGCAACACAGGACTGTCACTGTAACCTGAAACTTATGCAGACAGCTAAACCAATCAGAGAATTGTTCCTTCACTTGCTTATTGTGAGATTTGGCTAAGCAACAGACTTTGACAAATAATTAAATTTTCACCCTCACACTTTCACAACACATGGTTAAACTTACTCTGCATCACCACTCCAATCAGGATCCAAAAACATTTCTGGCTGAAAATTGAAAAGTATAAATATCAGAAAAGCCAAAACATTATAAATTCAATATCATAGTAATTTGCTGGATGGAGTGTTAATTGTGACAATTTTAGTTTGTTTACTAGCCAAACTGGCCAATGGAAATCCAAAACCCCTGGCTAAAACTGAATTTATACTAGTCTGTAGCTAGTTGGCTACGATTAGTGTCAATTAAACTCTGCCTGAATCAGACAGCTAGGTTGTCACCAGAATAAAGGAGATGATCTTTAACTAAAGAAGCTGGTGATTGTTGGACAAATTCCTTGTCAACACGTCAGGGAATGTACAGAAAACAACATGGAGAATATACATCATGATGTAAAGATGAAAAAGGGTTAAATATCAATTACCAGGTCATCCTGTGGAGAAAAGCCATCCAAACCTGGTTCACTGCGAGATGTGTTCCATGCTGCTTCCACCAACTCTGCATCCTGCTTCCTAATAAAAGATGGAAAATAACATTTTATAATAAGACTTATTTTACTCAGAATGTCACAAAATAATTGAATTTAAGTTAATTATTACTTGATTCCTAAAGCATTTTTTGAATAATCGATAATTTCAACTTTAACTTTTTTTTAGAGTTCTGCTTAATCTTTTCACCCATCTGAGTCACTAGCAAGTTGTACAGTCCATTCCAGGGTCTGGCAACAAACTGAGCTGCTCGTGTCAATCTTTGATATCCTTAAAAGCATCATAGACCATTTTCGACCACCTCGTTACACTGTACATTGTAGTGGAGTAACAGTTTTCAATTGAGCACTGGAAGCGATATGAGATCACTTGGGTTCTACTTTACTTTGATTTATAGCCTGAGTGTCAGGCCTTCCTAAGGGGCTAGGGCTAGCTCTCTTACCCCTTTCGCCCAGAAACGCTCCCAGAAACGCCTGATACCCTGGCTATTTGATTTACAGTTGCCTGAGTTATACGTAAGTTTTGAGACAGATTCTGCATTCAACCGTGGGTCTGTTAAACATAGGCGTTTAACTATAAAAATTAGCAAATGAAAGTACAATTCATATCAGCAAAATCAGGTACATGTAGAAGACCGCATCGAACCTAATTCTTTTACAGAACTTCAAAACAACAGCTAGAACACTAAGAAACTCACTGATATTGCTGCTGTGAAAATTCAGCCTTCCTGCAACGCCGTTTGGTACATATAAGTAACAACAAGGCGAAAAGGGAGACTGTTAGAACTGTTCCTAGTATGCTAATCGGAATGATCAAGGCCGGAGTCATAATGGCCAAGAGAGCCCTGCAGTTCACACTTGACACATCGTGTTTTGATTCGGATCAGTTTGTAACAGGCGCGAGTGTCGGCGCGAGTTTAAGCTTCCGGGAAAACTCGAGTTATACCCGCCAAACTTCCGAAGATCGATTATTTATTTTTATTGGACGATCAGATTCGGTAACCTTTCGTGAACCTCCCAAAGGATTTTCCGCCGAATTGTCGAAAAAAAACCACTAAGCCGGAGTAGGGTCAATTTTTTTTTTTCGATGCGATTTTAGACGTTTTGTTTTGAAAGATTTTTCCACTATATTTTAAAAATTTAATTGATTTTTGAGACATATTTAAATATTCCCTTTATCTGAAAGTAAAAACAAAAAGTGGATTGTTTAAACAAAGGGGAAAAGAATCTCTTATTGATCACGGAAGAAATAACTTCCCTCTACCCTCCGTACAGGAGGACATTTCGAACCTTGGTATGACAATCGTTTCAATTGGGTGAGAAACCGGCGCCCGAGGCTGCGTTTTAATTAAGTAGTTAAAAATTGTGCGGAGAAACAGCTTTGATTGAGAGCGAAGCAAACTTACGTGCCTAAGCTTAAGCTTTACCCCAGTTGATTTTCAGAAAACGGTTTAACATGGCGCCTAGCGATCGTGAGTCAGTGGGTTCGCCACTTGTTTTTATCATCTCTGTGGGTGCGATTCAGATTTTGGGAATTTTGGCCATGGTGCTTACTGGCATATGGATGGGAAAATATCTTGGTGGATTTGCTTGGGATGGGTCAGCTCAAGAATTTAACTACCATCCTCTATGTATGATTATCAGTATGGTGTTTTTATACAGCGAAGGTAAGCTTAGAACGTTTACGCTTTCGAAGTCCCGCTGGCGCTCCGACGTCAGCCTTTAAAGGCCCGTAGAAAAGGATTGTGAATTCTGTAATATTTCTTTCTCAGAAATGCCGCTCGGAAGCTTACACTTGTTCTAGAATCTGCCGAAATAATACCAAATTCTTTTTTATTTCAGCTGTCATGCCTCTCTTAATTCGAACTTGTTTCTCTGAATATTTCACTCAAAGGGGCAGCACTAGAAATCTTTACGCCCCCAGTGATGCTGAGACAGTTCTGCTTAATTTTATTGTCATATCGTTGTAGGGAAGATATTGTTCCACAGAAAAAAATAAAGTAGAATAAAAGCAACTAATAAGCGTTAAAGTTATGAAATATTTGAATTTGAAA